CCTACATAAAAATCTTTATATTTATTTTATTTATGTTTTAATTATAAGTTATTATATAATGGAGTCAGAAATTTTTAAATAAAATAAATAGTGGAGACTTATATATTCTAAGAAAACGAAACAATAACAGCAAAATTAGGGATATTTTTGGTTTGATTGAAAAAGAGGATATTTTCATAATTGCAGGAAATGTATTTTGTAATAAATACAATAAAATATTTAAGTACAATGGAAAATAATTTATTCCAAGAAAGACGATCAGCTCAAAAAAAAGACTTTTGGGACCAAATGCATGAATTTTAAACGGTGTACGCATAAAAATGTTTTTAACAAAATACAATAACTTGGAAGATTTTGGAATAAAAAATTCCGCTATCATTGTATTTGTTACTCATAGGGGTTTGAATATAGTAAAGGCTTTAAAAAATAATATTCGCCTAAATTGTTCCAATAATTTCTTTAATAATTTATTAGACTCAGCTTTTAAGAAGTTAGAAGGACTACTGCCTATATTTGAGCATAGTTCAAAATTAGTAAAATACTTTAAGAACTCAAACCTGTAGCATATGCTAATAGTTTCATTTAAAAACTATTGTGCGACACTTTGGAATTCGAATTTATGTTTGTTCAAATCTAGTTTAGTTTTAGAAAAATTTGATATTATTAGCAAAAAACTACGGGGAGGAAATTACGTCTCAATCAATTTTGTGTACTTATGTATGTATTCACACATTGAAAGAGATTTGCACTGACATTTAATATTTAACATGAAAAATGTCATTAAATAAAGAATTTTAAAAAATGTTTTAATTCTTTATTGTCTCCATAAATTCAAATCAATTCTACAGGTTAGGAAAATTTAATTTCCGTTTTTTCATATTTTCGATTGAAAAATATAATATAGAAACACATATAATAAAAAATATTCTTTGTAAAGTGATTTTCCTAAATAATTTGCACATTCAAATATTTTCATTGCAAACCCTTTGGAAATCCCAAAATTTCTTAAAGAATTACTACGCATAAAACTTAATTCAAGTAATTTCCTCAGCATCATTATTTGTAACGCATAGCACATAGTAGTAGTGAATATCATTCGTTGCCATTCACAAAGGGTCGTTGCCTTTTACGAAGCATAGCGTTTAGGTAGTGTGTTTCACATTGACTTTTGAACAGGGACCGTAACAGTTATCATAAAAAAAATAAAAATCATCTTATAACTGTTATCATATGCATTTTAAAATAAAACTCAAAAAATAATAATTAAATTTGATTTTTATTATATTCATCAAAAATAATAATTATTATATGCCTTTTATTTTTTTCGCGCAGAAATAACTCTTAAAATTTGCTTCTTATTTTAAAACGCACAAATAACTGGTATACTTGCGTTATATAATATAAAAAGCAAGAGTATCGCGCAAATTCTGCGCGATATTTTTAAAATGAAAATATAAAATGCAATTTTCATACAAGGTAGTTGTTTTTGTAATTCCATAGAAAATGTTTTAAAAGGTTGGTGCAGGTAAAGATTTAGTTTAGTTTTTTGTTTTTGTATTTTGCATACAAATTTGTTCTCCTACAAAATACAAATATAAATACAAAATATGAATCCAAAATACAAAAACAAAAAACTGAACTAAATCTTTACCTGCACCAACCTTTTAAAACATTTTCTATGGAATTACAAAAACAACTACCTTGTATGAAAATTGCATTTTATATTTTCATTTTAAAAATATCGCGCAGAATTTGCGCGATACTCTTGCTTTTTATATTATATAACGCAAGTGTACCAGTTATTTGTGCGTTTTAAAATAAGAAGCAAATTTTAAGAGTTATTTCTGCGCGAAAAAAATAAAAGGCATATAATAATTATTATTTTTGATGAATATAATAAAAATCAAATTTAATTATTATTTTTTGAGTTTTATTTTAAAAAGCTCATATATAAAAAGCATGCATAATATTAAGGATAAAAGTTATTAGAATGATAACTATTTACTTAAATAAGAGTTTAGACAACTTTTTGTTGCTGCTTTTTTTCATAAAAAATTTTAAAATAACTGTTATTTTCGGTCCCTGCTTTTGAACGCATTCATGTCGATCTCTGGTGTTTACCCCTCAAAATAAGAATATTAAACAAATGATGTATTGAATGACAACCTTGTTTGCCATATGCCACGTAAACAGTATTGTCAAACAAGACTAATAGAATGGAAAACCCTCTATTAAATGGCTATAAAATAATCGTTATACATATTCTTGAGGTATAAGAGAACAATTAGAATTATACAAAGTAAATTAATATCCTGTAAAAACATTTAGTAGAAATGGCTATATATCTATAAATTAAAAAGTTTTTCTAAAACCAATAATTGTTTGTAACAAATTTCCATATTTGTATAGTTTTTAAAAAAAAATTTAAATTGCTAACTATTTTTTGTGTATAATACAATTTTATAATTTGGGGATAAACAACTGTGGATACTAGTATTGTTTGTGTATTGGTCTATTTGATTTATATATTTTACATAGCCCATTTGCATTAAGAACAGCATAAGTAAAAATGTTTAAGGAAACGTACTCTAACTTTAAAAATATTAAATGATAATATAGTACTAAAAATTAAGAGGGAAATTATGCTTCTTTACTACTCCTTTTAGTTTGCTTTTAACTGATACATCGCAAGTGTATAAGCTTTCTTTTAAATAAATAGTACACCGTATGTAGATGAAAAATTATATATATACATAATAAATTTTTTTAAAAACCAAAACTTCATGCATTTAATTTTTTAAATTAGTTGGTAATAAATACACTTATGTCACACCGTGTCAGACACTTTTCTGATAGGAAGGGTTATTTAAATTTGTTTTTAAAAATATGTAAATATATACAAAAATAAATAGCTGTTTTAGTAATTATTTTGATTGTATTTGGAAAACGAACTTATGCCAGCTTCAAATATGTGTGTTATTAGGCTCATGAAAGCAAAATAATATTTGATTTGTGTATATTAATTGGAAATTAATTGGTTTCCAAAACAAAGCAATAATAACATAATGATGAAAGTTGTAAAAATCTTACAGCCTGATCTGTGTTGCTCTTGCTGTAGGGAACCGGAATCAAGCGTTCCTGCAACTCACCGCCTATAACCTTTAAATGGAAAGAGTAAAAGAAAAACAATTGGAATATGTGAAGGTAGAATCAAATTGAAAATAATATATACTTATATAAAATTTATAGAACTTTTAGAGTATTAGTTGAAAATGTAATTTAACTTAATATTTTATTAAATTAAAATAGCGTAAAATCATTCGATAAAGTAAGCCAACATAATAACCCTATTTGATTAATATTTTGTTTGACTGATATTTAAAACGCTACCTATCTATATAAGCCTTCTCAAATTGTTTATATAGAATTGATTTTATTGTATCATATATTTGAACTGAAATATATTTAAAAAAACATATATTTAAAGTATGTTTGTTATATACATAAACATTATATATTACATTTATAATATTCTTGAATTAATTACTAAAATAATACAAAATATGTTAGTAAATATATATTTTTAAATGAGAACAAATATATAAGTACATTTGCTAAGAAAACATTAACCCAACAATGATGTTCATTATATATTTAAACTTACAGACTGAAAATTCTAATATCTTTGTAGCATTTGCAAGAGATTAATTTCATTTAAAAACATATATGCTGTTTTTGCCTTCATTATAGTTCCATGTCTTCAGGATTTATTTATTATTTACAAAGTGTGCATGTGTTTCGTCTTAAGTAAGTAAGATTTAAATACATAAACACTAACAAAAACTAAGTTTTAAGTGTATATTATTTTGAAATACTTTTTGTTTTATATTCGTTTTTTTTTAATAAAATTTAAATTTTAGTTTATAAAGCATCTGAATTTGAAACATTAAAATTAGTATTTTGGATTCGTCAACGTTTAAATTATAATTTTTAATATTTATATACAATTAAAATGAGTTACATGTATTACTTAACTTAGCACCTACCTTTTCTTTTTAAATTTGTTTCAATTTGTTTCATAGACTAAAACTTCGAATAATAACTAAATAAAATCGCAAACAACTGAGCAAACCCAAACGATAAACTGTTATGAATTTTTAAAGTACATTATTTTAACAAATTCAAGAATACATTTTTCTAAATCGACAACTTGATTAGTAAGTACAACACAAGTTCATTAAGCATTTTAGTCACAAGTCGCAAGTCGATTGTTTCGTCGATTATGTTACCGATCGAAAAAATTTAAATCAAAAAGTACTTTAACATTTTTAAAACGTTTCAATCGCAAATAAATGATTTATATTGTTTTTAAACTCAGTATCGTTTTTTTCGTTTTAGATTCTTTGATTTCAAGTAGAGTTAGGGTATATAATAAGCATATAAAACAATGTAAACTTAATAAATTTAACAAAATTAAAAGGGTCCATTTTAAAAACATGCATATGCCTTGTAACATTTTGTTTTACTTCTTCTTCAAATCAACCAACGGATTCACATTTTTAAAATGTTATCAGATGAATCGATTTAACATTGAACATATCTATAATGCATACTGATTTATATGGACTAGCTAAGATAGTATGACATTAATATATATAGCTATTTTATTATATTAGTAATTATTATTATATTTGTAACTATGTTTATCATCCTTGTATAAGAATATTAATCAATGAATAACTGTTTGTTTGTATATTTGTAATCACTATTTTTGTTTTGCTTCTTTAGTTTTATAGAAACTTGTTCTGATTTCTGCGAATAATGTTGTTATACTCAGATTTTAAGCTTATAGCCGTATAAACAGATATTTAAATAAAAAGTTACATAATTGTTTAACTTTAATACAAAGCCCTTTCTTTTAATTGTAAATAAAAAAATATTATAACTGACGGATAAATTAAAAGATATAAAATAAAACTCAATAAATTAGTATGAAAAAATATTTCGCTGAGAGAATAGTAAAAAAATAATAAGTAATAAGCATTATTCGAACAAGAATTAATATTTATATTCTTGTTTCATTTTGTGTCTGTTCATTTAGTTCTTGTTGCGACTTTTGAGCAGCGTTAGAAACTGTTGCTGGTAGTTGTCTTCCATTATGCTGCTGAAATGAGTCCTCATCAATATACTTTAAGTCTGTTAGTAAAGCACTGTCAGTATTTCGTGGCATTTGGAGACGCATTTGTTGTTGTTGCTGTTGTTGTTGAACTTGTTGCACATAGTTTGGACTTAGTAAATTAGCATTGTATATTGAGGGAAAACCTTGTATATTGCCTGTACGAGGACTACGCAAGCTGTGCAAACTGTGCATAGAGCGCCGTTCATTTAAATCTTCCAATGTAGAACGGAAAGCACGAATAACACGTAACTGAAACAAACGAATTAGACAACAAACAAACGAAAAGAACAAAATAAAATTAGAAAGTAATGCAAAAACAACAACAAATTAATATTAAATTATTAAATAATGTATGAATATCTTATTAATTAGTTGCTTATAATTCAAGACAGTATTTCTTTGTTAGTAGCATTATCATTCAAAGTTTTTAAACGCATATATAAAAATTATTCAAAATAATTAACAAAACAATATAACCATAAGTAAAAACATAGAAAGATACTAAATTTTTAAAATCGTTGCACATCCATCATGCAACTGTAGTTATTCATTAAGGGTATTCATGAAAAGCGATGAAATGGGTAAACGTGCAATCGCAATCATCCACGAGATTGGTTGTATGAAGACACTTCTATACATATTTATACTAAATCTGTAAAGAATGAAATGTTCATTCGTTGGCACAGAAAATTAAAGATTAAAAAAAACATATAAATTAAAATTCGATTTTACATATTAACAGTTGTTTAATTTGAATATTATATATTAAACAGAAACATTAAGCAACGTTAGCGTTTGCATAGACATTATTTCGTGCACCAAAGATATTATTCAAGTTAATGTAGTTTTTGCAGTTTAAAACTCATATAAATTTTGTACAGCGGATTTGCGACAATTATTGCAAATTTATGTGATTTGCGAAATCTGCAAGTCTGAACGCTTTCATGATACCCCTATTAATTTTCTTTTGTATTCCAAATAACTTATATAAGTTATGGTACCGTTACAAAAAAAAAAAAAAGAAACTATAAATCTAAATTAGATTTAGAATTGATTAGAAATAAGCATTATCAATAGTTTTGGTTTAATTGAGTGAAATATATTTATATATAAGCTATTTTATACACATATTTCATCTCAAATTAAAAACATATTAAAAATTAGTACAAAATTAAATAAAAATATTTAAAAAATTCATACATTCAAATTATTATGTATACGTACATTGATATGTATCTATATACATCTGTATATACATATATATGTTATATTAATATTTAGTATACATTGATCATATACTTCTTTACATATCATATACTTACCTTTGCAAATGTCATTTGAAGTTTAGTGTATATATATATAGATATAAATATATTCTACAATTATGTAATTTATAAAACACGAAAAAAGAGAAACAGAACGATAGAGAAAAGGAAAGAAGGAAACAGATTACTTACAACATATGAATACAAAATTGTTACTCATACATTACATACGGAAGTTGCTAAAATAACGTATATTTCATGTAAACACTCATGTGTAGAAAAAAATGTAAATAACAGTACATTGTCTTCTCGCAAAGGCTTGTAATTTGGTTGTGTTTATTGACATAAATTTACAATGATCCTTGAGATCAGCTGCTGCTGTCACGCGTTTTGCAATGTTGTCTTATAAGCTTAGATCTTTCTTATAGTCACGGAATAAAAAAATTATAAGTAAATGCTAATATTGAACACAGTATAAGTTCAAAAAGTTTTAAACATTTTGCTTCTGCGTTGTTCTACGGTCACATGATCACACACATATAAAATCGCAAGAACAAAGAGAGTTTTTTTTTAAATCAGAAAAAAGAGTCATTTTGTAAATTGCAACTTTGATTAATTTAATTAATAATAATTAAATTTGCTTTTATTACATTCCTCAAAAACCATTATTTTATGTGCCTTTTATTTTTTCGCGCAAAGAAAACTCAAAATTCTGCTTTTAATTGTAAAACGCACTAATAACTGTTAGTTTTGCGTTATAAATATAAAAATCATGATTAACTTGCACTGTCTGCAGAATATTTTTAAAACGAAATTATAAAATATAATATAAAAATATAAAATAAAATTTTTCATACAAAGTGCTTGTTTTTGTAGTTCCATACATGTTTTTAAGGATTGGTGCACGTAAAGAGTTACTTTTGGTTTTTGTTTTTGTATTGTTTTGTGTACAACAACTAAACTAAATCTTAACCGGCGCCAACTCTTGAATACATTTTGTATGAAGTTGAAAAAACAACTACCTTGTATGAAAAATGAATTTTATATTTTTGTTTTAAAAATATTCGGCAGGACAGTGCCAGGTATTCATGATTTTTATATTTATAACGCAAAGGTAACAGTTATTAGTGCGTTTTAAAATAAAAAGCAAAGTTTTGAGTTTTTTCTGCGCAAAATATAAAAGGCACATAAAATAATTATTTATGAGGAATATAATAAAAGCAAATTTTATTATTTTTTTATTTTATTATTTTAAAAATATTCTGCAGGACAGTGCCAGTTATTCATGATTTTTATATTTATAACGCAAAGATAGCAGTTATTAATGCGTTTTAAAATAAAAAGCAGAGTTTTGAGTTTTTCTGCACTTAAAAATAAAAGGCACATAAAATAATTATTTTTTATTATTATTTATAATAAAAGTAAATTTAATTATTATTTTTTGATTTTATTTTAAAATGCGAATGATAGGTAATAGGTGATTTTTTATTTTTTATAATAACTGTTACGGTCCCTGTTTAAATGTGTTTTCGATGAGTATATATTATTGACATACACATCAATTAGTACGTACTGATACCTTCAGATAAGACAGGATTTAAATAATCACACTTTTCAAACATTTATATTTATCTCTCATATCTTTTTTGTTCATGTGATAGAAAAGAGGGTTTCGCTTTGAATAATGCAATATTGCTTGTTTTAAATATTTAGATATATTTAACACAAAGAAAAATAGGAAGTATAACTATAACAATAAGTATTCATATAAAATATTATACTATAATTTAATATAATTTGATATTATTTTATTTCTTCTTTTGGCTATCGAATGAACAAAAAAGTTATAAGAGATAAATATAAAAGTCTTAAAAAAACATCCATTTAACTTCTGTCTATATTAATTGATATGTATGTAAATAATATATTAGCATGTAAAGCTAGCTTAAAATATGAGAGCAAAACAAAGCTACAATTTACAAAATGACTTTTTTTGAGTGACTTCAGCCAAAATTTTTAAAAATCCTCAATTTTTATTTTTAAGCACTTGACATCTCTGTATAACTTGTTTGTGGCTGCGGATTACAAAATAAGCAGAGTTATGCATAATAAATTATACTAATAGTCCTTACCTCCAAATAATGAAACAGAAATAGCTCAGCAAAATTATAAAATTAGAAAAAAAATCTCCTTAAGAAGAAAATAATCAAAATACAATAGGTGGGCAGGTGGGCAGGGCAATTGTGTTGAAAGTGTATTAATAAAAAATTACATCGCAAACTATATTTAACGAAGTTCTTTACTTATAAACTTGACTAAAATGGTAATTTTACATTATTTAACATTTTGAATTAATATTTACTAATAAATTTTCGACTGTGGCATATGTGCAATTCATTTCTGTAAATGTGTAATACTGGATTCATACCAGAATTTTGTTTGTAATTTTAGTTGTCTTTCAAATTATTCTTGATTCCGACAACAAAACAAGTTTAAATCAAGAAGACTTGTATGGGAATGTTAACAGCTGAAAACAGAATTGAATCGTAATTTTAACAAAATCAAGTTGATTTTAATTTGTACGGTTCGCCGAAGGCAAATTTGTACAGTACAAACTTGTGCTATTGTGAAAAGTTTTGAGGAATAAATGAAGTTTTCATACAAAATGAAATTAAACTTATCTTTTTCATTTGTATATATCATATGTGCAAACTATTTATCATACGTATATATCGTATGTGCAAAACACATATTTTCTGAACGTAGTTAAAAAGTATGGACATATGATAAATCTGACAATCATATTTTCATATTATCAAATTACAATGATTTGTCGTATGAATCGATATTTTTGCTTCTTGATATCAGAGGTTTTCGACAGCTAAAATTACAAACAAAAACTCTCGTGTGAATTCAGTATTACGTTAATACTTTATATTTTACTTGACGTTTACTCGAGATTTAGTGTGAGCTACTCGTGGAACAGACCTAATACAAAACATAAAAAAACTGAAAGCAAAATTAAAACTCTTTTAGATATGTGGGGTAATATTTCTTTTAAAGAAAATAAAATTTTACTAAAAATTCAATTTGAAAAACAATTAAAAATTATCCATATCGTGATCCTGTTTCAGTGACATACGTCAAACAAAATTGTCATGCATTACAATATGTTTTTTGATTAAGGTTTGATATTATGATAGACCGCACATAATTACTAGTTTTCGTTGCCGTGAAAATTACAACATGAATTCGGAAGATATGTAGTGTTTCAAGACGTTTCGGTAATGTGAATTGGTCAGCTATATACCCACAAGTCGTCAAAAATCCGGTTGTGTTATATGTTCCGTGGAAGATATTTGATTGGAATAATATTCTGAGCGAAATCTCGAAGTACAAGTATGTTTTATCTAGTTATACTTTCGGAACCACAAACAGTTTAACACTATAGATAACAAAACAATCAAATCTAGTTTGGAAAAATATCAGCTATTTCAATTACATATCCTATTTCTTATTTATAACAGGATATTAAACTCTCACCAATACGATATGTACAGAATTAATTTGTATATTACATCATTGTAATTATCTTTCCTTTTCTCTTCTTCTGATTTGGTTTATTTATTATTAATATTCATCAAGTCATCCACAAAAGGAAGCATCATATAACTTTCAATTTTTGTTTAAAGATGTACGTATATGCTGCAAAACAATTATATGCGCATTCTTAAAAATGATATTTTTGTGAATATAATTCATTGAAATAACTATTATTTATTTTGAACCACAAGTTTTGAAAGTAAAATTAAAAAATTATGTAATTTGTTTACATACATATAAAATAATAGTTAATAATTAACATACTTTCAAATCGAAATATTTATATGTGCATAATAAAATGGGATATTTTAAATTCTTCCCATTTAGCCTTAATTGTATAAGATATTTAAATTCCGTAAAAAGGTTGAATTAATATTGTAA